GAGAGAGAGAGAGAAAATAGGGAATAGGGAGATGAGGGAAGAAAGATACAGAAAAAAATGAGAGATCCATACAAAAAAAGTGAGACGTTTCCTGTGCACTACGAATATTCACCACTATTGCACATGACCAGAACCTTTTTGCTCGGTTCTACGTTCTGTCCTTGATAAAGGCACTTTATACGAATTTCCCACTTGGCGCGGTCCTTTCAGAGATGGACGTTAAACTCGAAGGACCCTCCTTATAAATAACCTAACTGTGTTGATAGGGGCGTTAAACCTAAACAGTTTTTGAGGTGTGCTGAAAAATGAATTACGTCTCGCGATCCATAAATGGAGATATTTGCCCAAAATAGACCCTATGATTAAATTTGTAGATTTTTTTTTATTGATGTCATATTCTTAAATTGTAACATACTACTGTTAATTAGATCTATTTCATACTTATAAATTGAAAAACCTTCACCCATAAGCGTGACTTATCTATTTTCATAGGGCTTGAATCCGAGAAGCAACTCATTTTGTCAGCACGCTTCACATTTCACCATTTCACCAGAACCTATTAAAATTTCTTTCTTTCTTTCTCTCAGACAAGGCATCCCAGCGAGGCCAGTGCTGGCTGGTTACTGTTTAGACGATTATAACATCGACAACTCACGGTCACACTTGTACCCGACACCAAGCACTTTGGCGCCACATGATACGACCCAGTCCGAAAACACGCCCACTTCATCAACCGAGGAAGGCGACGCCCCTTTTCCTTCTTCTACTTCGACCACAGCCAAGGGCGACAACTCAAAAGATCGCCGTAGCAACACCAATAATAATAATAAGAAGAGTGGTCATAATGGGTCGAATGGGAGAGTTACTGCCCCGTTTACTCTTGCTATAACATCCATAGTAGTTGCTGTGTGCTTGTTCAAAGGCTGGTGTGGGTTAGGTGATGGTTAAGGAGAGAAATAAAGGAGAAGTTTATAACCTCTTTTGTTTTGTTTTGTTTGTTTGTACGTATGTTTGTGTGTATGTTTGGTTGTCCGTTTGTTAGTGTGGGTATGTGTATTTATGTGTGTATTTGTGTATGTGTGTGTGTGCTTATGTGTATATGTATGTGT